TGTTCTTTGGTAGATTCCTCCGATTGGTTTGCGGAGCACCCATGGATTACATTAATCACTGGTATTAGTTGGAGGCACTTCCAAATCAATGTCACATGATTCAAATATTACACTTGATAGTCTTAAAATGTCAGGTGGTAAATAAATTGTGCTAAAACGGTATACAAAAAGAAAGGAAAAAAAGAAAAAAGGAAAAATAGTTTAGAAAAAAACAGTATATTCACATGTTGCTGTCTGCCAACTCTCTATTCCTTGTACAGTGTATCTTCCAGATGAACTGTCTGGATAACAACTCAATCTTCTCTATGTCATCATGAGAAAAAGACTGAGTTCCAAACCGGAACAGTCAAGTATAATCTGAGTAAAAGTTCCTTGATTACTGGAGTTGTGAGTATATCTACCGATGATGTTGTTCAGTTTTGCCTTATATATGTCTCTCTGAGGTTTTGTATGGATGCAATTACTCATATCCCTGGTCTCTGGTTCTGCGTGACAGATTTTACAGGTTGGATCAACAGCATGTTGCCTGAAGACAGCTCTATTCGACTGCAGTGTGTATGTTCCAGTAAGCAATTTAGCTTTTATCTCAGCGTGCTGTACATCAATGTTATTTCCTCTAACTGTTGTGTAAATGTTATGGGCTGACCAAACTTTGATGGTTCCGGGTTGAGGTATTTAAGGCTGTTTTTCTGTTTGATTTCCACTGGTCTTCAACGTAGGAATGTATTGCGTTCCTTAGCTGGGTTTTCTCCGGTAGATCATTCATGTGGTCATAAGGTAGATCGTATTGTGCAAATAGTCGCCTCACATTTGAGAAGAAGCTCTTTTCCTGTATGTTCTTTGTTGCAAGTTGTCGTTCGGCAATCCGGAATTGCAGAGACTCTGGATCTTGTAGAATATTGTATAGTAGGTTCAGAGTGTTTTTGTGAATATGAGCCTAGATAGGTAGGATTCCAAGTAGTCCAGTTGCTGCTGATGTAGTTGTTCTGTCAAGAAGATGTTGTATCTATTTTAAAGCTTTAGTTTGGAAGTTTTCAAGTTTATTAACATCTGCATGTGTGTAGTAGAGTGCTTCAAAGCCATATACAATTCTTGATACTATAAATGTCGTCCAGACAGGCCTAGAGTCATGATATTTGGCTGAAAGCTTTGTTGGTAGGAGCTCTACAAAGTTTGACTTCATCTTCTGAACTAAAAGGTATAGAATCTTCATATCTGGCTGATGGTTTCCTGGGATGGAGCTGATATAGGGGACCAACATGTCCACATTCTGTACCTGATATATAGGGGACCAACAGATCCACATTCTGTACCTGATATAAGGGTCCAACAGGTCCAGATTCTGTTCCTGATATTAGGGAACCCCAGGTCCACATTCTGTACCTGATATCAGGGAACAACAGGTCCACATTCTGTTCCAGATATAAGGGAGCAACATGTCCACATTCTGTAGCTGATATAAGGGACTAAAGATGTCCACATTCTGTACCTGATATAGGGGACCGACATGTCCACATTCTGTACCTGATATATAGGGGACCAACAGATCCACATTCTGTACCTGATATAAGGGTCCAACAGGTCCAGATTCTGTTCCTGATATTATGGAACACCAGGTCCACATTCTGTACCTGATATAGGGGACCGACATGTCCACATTCTGTACCTGATATAGGGGACCGACATGTCCACATTCTGTACCTGATATATAGGGGACCAACAGATCCACATTCTGTACCTGATATAAGGGTCCAACAGGTCCACATTCTGTTCCAGATACAAGGGACCAACATGTCCACATTCTGTTCCTGATATAAGGAACCAACATGTCCACATTCTGTACCTGATATAAGGGACCAACAGGTCCACATTCTGTACCTGATATCAGGGAACACCAGGTCCACATTCTGTACCTGATATAATGGACTAACAGATCAACATTCTGTACCTGATATAAGGGACCAACATGTCCACATTGTGTACCTGATATAAGGGACCAACAGGTCCACATTCTGTTCCAGATATAAGGGACCAACATGTCCACATTCTGTAGCTGATATAAGGGACTAAAGATGTCCACATTCTGTACCTGATATAAGGGACGAACATGTCCACATTCTGTACCTGATATATAGGGGACCCACAGATCCACATTCTGTACCTGATATAAGGGACCAACAGGTCAACATTTTGTTCCTGATAAAAGGGACCAACATGTCCACATTCTGTTCCTGATATAAGGGACCAACATGTCCACATTCTGTACCTGATATAAGGGACGAACATGTCCACATTCTGTACCTGATATATAGGGGACCCACAGATCCACATTCTGTACCTGATATAAGGGACCAACAAGTCCACCTTCTGTACCTGATATAATAAGGGACCAACAAGTCCACATTCTGTTCCTGATATAAGGGACCAACATATCAACATTCTGTTCCTGATATAAGGGACCAACATGTCCACATTCTGTACCTTATATAAGGGACCAACAAGTCCACATTCTGTACCTGATATAATAAGGGACCAACAAGTCCACATTCTGTTCCTGATATAAGGGACCAACATGTCCACATTGTGTACCTGATATAAGGGACCAACGTGTCCACATTCTGTTCCTGATATAAGGAACCAACATGTCCACATTCTGTACATGATATAAGGGACCAACAGGTCCACATTTTGTTCCTGATATAAGGGACCAACATGTCCAAATTCTGTTCCTGATATAAGGGACCAACATGTCCACATTGTGTACCTGATATAAGGGACCAACGTGTCCACATTCTGTTCCTGATATAAGGAACCAACATGTCCACATTCTGTACATGATATAAGGGACCAACAGGTCCACATTTTGTTCCTGATATAAGGGACCAACCTGTCCACATTCTGTTCCTGATATAAGGGACCAACATGTCCACATTCTGTTACTGATATAAGGGACCAACATGTCCACATTGTGTACCTGATGTAAGGGACCAACATGTCCACATTCTGTACCTGATATATGGGACCAACAAGTCCACATTCTGTACCTGATATATATAGAGCTCCTGATAATAAAATATTTCACAATTTTAAATTTAAATGACTAGATCAGTATTCAAATGTGTCATATATATGAGGATCCCTTAGCTAGGTCGGTTTTACCAGTAAGTGTTCCTGATATTAGGGAACACCAGGTCCACATTCTGTACCTGATATCAGGGAACACCAGGTCCACATTCTGTACCTGATATCAGGGAACACCAGGTCCACATTCTGTACCTGATATAAGGGACCAACAAGTCCATATTCTGTACCTGATATATATAGAGCTCCTGATAATAAAATATTTCACAATTTTAAATTTAAATGACTAGATCAGTATTCAAATGTGTCATATATATGAGGATCCCTTAGCTAGGTCGGTTTTACCAGTAAGTGTTCCTGATATTAGGGAACACCAGGTCCACATTCTGTACCTGATATCAGGGAACACCAGGTCCACATTCTGTACCTGATATCAGGGAACACCAGGTCCACATTCTGTACCTGATATCAGGGAACACCAGGTCCACATTCTGTACCTGATATCAGGGAACACCAGGTCCACATTCTGTACCTGATATAATGGACTAACAGATCAACATTCTGTACCTGATATAAGGGACCAACATGTCCGCATTCTGTACCTGATATAATAAGGGACCAACATGTGATATAAGGGACCAACATGTCCACATTCTGTACCTTATATAAGGGACCAACAAGTCCACATTCTGTACCTGATATAATAAGGGACCAACATGTGATATAAGGGACCAACATGTCCACATTCTGTACCTGATATATGGGACCAACAGGTCCACATTCTGTACCTGATATAAGGGACCAACAAGTCCACATTCTGTACCTGATATATATAGAGCTCCTGATAATAAAATATTTCACAAGTTTAAATTTAAATGACTAGATCAGTATTCAAATGTGTCATATATATGAGGATCCCTTAGCTAGGTCGGTTTTACCAGTAAGATGAAATTACAAGAGATGTCGCGGCATGGTTTACAACATTATTAAGATTATTTAACATGCACTCTAGGTATTATACAGGGCTCAAATCCAACACATCTCACCCAGGGTTGTGTTGGGAGCTTTAATGTGTACACATGTGTTGACAGTTGTCATAAATTGGGTTTGTCAGCTTTGTGTATACATGTTGGTTGTCATTTTAATCTGTTTCAATCTAAAAGAAAATAAGTAGAAGACTGGACATAGTTTGTATGTTGCCATCCATATAAGCGGTATAATGTAGAGTGTACTTCGTGTGTATATGTACAGTACAATATGGAATTAAGGGGAATCTGTATAACTGGTTTGAAAATTATCTGTCGGATAGGAAACAAAGAGTAGGTTATGAAGGATATTCTTCTAGTTTCAAAAATATTACAGCTGGTGTTCCTCAAGGGTCTACACTTGGCCCATTTCTTTTCTTACTGCTCATTAATGATATAACTAATGAAATTCATACTCATATTAAATTATTTGCCGATGATACGTCATTACATGTTATTGTTGATGAAGATGTGGTTGCTCCATGTATGGATCTAAATGAAGATCTTGACTCTATTAGTAATTGGGCTAACCAATGGAAAATTAAATTTAATCCAAATAAAACTGTTGCATTAACTGTAACAAAAAAAACCCGAAATCACCCTCCACTTCTCTTTGACAATCAAATAGTAAATGAAATAACTAATCATAAACACTTAGGTCTTTTATTTAACTACAAAGGTTCATGGAGTAATCACATCGCAGAAATCTCATACACAGTACACACACACACGTTAATCTACCCCAGGTCCAATGACCCACCATAACATTATGAAGTGTCAGTTACTTGTAAAATTTGGTCCCATATACGTGTTTAGCCATTGTTAATGAATATTTATGAGATGGGTAGTGATGCATACTTCTTACAGTCTTATGTACATAGCCAGTACCTGGGTTGTATGGTGTAGGTTCAACAAGACTTGTCCTGTCTTATAAAGATCATCAATTCTACACAACTTATATACACTACCAGTTCCGCTTGTCAGGATCATTGTCTGTTTGGGTATATAACACAAAGGTCATATTGTTAACACACATTGAATATTGAACAATGGATCCGACTGAATATAACGCTCAGGTGAGAAACAAAGTACTAATCTAAACATATATAGAATATATATATATTGTAGGTATACAGTGTCACTGTGGTTGATATCAATGTATGGTATTAACTATAACAGTGTTATCAGTGTCAATGGTATATATCAATGTATTGTAATGCCTATAACAGTGTTATCAGTGTCACTGGTAGATATCAATGTATGGTTTTAACTATAACAGTGTTATCAGTGTCAATGGTAGATATCAATGTATGGTATTAACTATAACAGTGTTATCAGTGTCAATGGTATATATCAATGTATGGTATTAACTATAACAGTGTTATCAGTGTCACTGGTAGATATCAATGTATTGTAATAACTATAACAGTGTTATCAGTGTCACTGGTAATGGTATATATCAATGTATGGTATTAACTATAACAGTGTTATCAGTGTCACTGGTAATAGTATATATCATTGTGGTTGATATCAATGTATGGTATTAACTATAAAAGTGTTATCAGTGTCACTGGTAGGTATCAATGTTTTGTAATAACTATAACACTGTTATCAGTGTCACTGGTAGATATCAATGTATGGTAATAACTATAACTGTTATCAGTGTCACTGGTAGATATCAATGTATGGTATTAACTATAACAGTGTTATCCGTGTCACTGGTAGATATCAATGTATGGTATTAACTATAACAGTGTTATCAGTGCCACTGGTAGATATCAATGTATTGTAATAACTATAACAGTGTTATCAGTGTCACTGGTAATAGTATATAACACTGTGGTTGATATCAATGTATTGTAATAACTATAACAGTGTTATAAATGTCACTAGTAGGTATCGATGTATGGTTTTAACTATAACAGTGTTATCAGTGTTACTGGTAGATATCAATGTATTGTAATAACTATAACAGTGTTATCAGTGTCACTGGTAGATATCAATGTATTGTAATAGCTATAACAGTGTTATCAGTGTCAATGGTAGGTATCGATGTATGGTTTTAACTATAACAGTGTTATCAGTGTCACTGTGGTAGGCCATGTTGTCAAAGTCTGTCCCATATTTGGTACAGACTGTAGTATATACCTTACCTAAGTCACTGACTGGTTTGCTCAGTTGACCTGTTCTGATTGCTTTTGATCTGTTGTAGTGTGTATCGTGTACACATTCTACAATGTTGACTAATAAGAACTGTAACAAAAATAATGTAAAATTAGAGTTCCTGCCCGAGCCTAAGCCTTTGAAATTTCTGGTATCTTTTCCAAATTCAGATGTACTAGAATCAAATACACTTCCTGGATGGAAAGGGGGCAAAGTTATAGTCCGGACTGTTTGATAACCGTTGTAAAGGGGGTAGAATTATAGTCAGGACTGTTTAATAACCATGCATAAGCTTGTAAAGGGGTTAGAAGTATAGTCAGGACTGTTAAATAAACCTTGTAAAGGGGGTAGAATTATAGTCAGGACTGTTTGATAACCCTTGTAAAGGGGGTAGAAGTGAAGTCGGGACTGTTTAATAAACCTTGTAAAGGGGATTAAGTTATAGTCAGGACTGTTTAATAACCCTTGTAAAGGGGGTAGAAGTGAAGTCGGGACTGTTTAATAAACCTTGTAAAAGGGGTTAAGTTATAGTCAGGACTGTTTAATAAATCTTGTAAAGGGGGTAAAGTTACAGTCAGGCCTGTTTAATAAACCTTGTAAAGGGGGTAAAGTTATAGTCAGGACTGTTTAATAAACCTTGTAAAGGGGGTTAAGTTATAGTCAGGACTGTTTGATAACCCTTGTAAAGGGGGTAGAAGTAAAGTCGGGACTGTTTAATAAACCTTGTAAAGGGGGTAAAGTTATAGTCAGGACTGTTTAATAAACCTTGTAAAGGGGGTAAAGTTATAGTCAGGACTGTTTAATAAACCTTGTAAAAGGGGTAGAATTATAGTCAGGACTGTTTGATAACCCTTGTAAAGGGGGTAGAAGTATAGTCGGGACTGTTTAATAAACCTTGTAAAGGGGGTAAAGTTATAGTCAGGACTGTTTAATAAACCTTGTAAAGGGGGTAAAGTTATAGTCAGGACTGTTTAATAAACCTTATAAAGGGGGTAGAAGTATAGTCAGGACTGTTTAATAAACCTTGTAAAGGGGGTAAAATTATAGTCAGGACTGTTTGATAAACCTTGTAAAGGGGGTAAAGTTATAGTCAGGACTGTTTAATAAACCTTGTAAAGGGGGTAGAATTATAGTTGGGACTGTTTAATAAACCTTGTAAAGGGGGTAGGATTATAGTCAGGACTGTTTAATAAACCTTGTAAAGGGGGTAAAGTTATAGTCAGGACTGTTTGATAAACTTTGTAAAGGGGGTAAAGTTATAGTCAGGACTGTTTAATAAACCTTGTAAAAGGGGTTAAGTTATAGTCAGGACTGTTTAATAAACCTTGTAAAGGGGGTTACATTATAGTCAGGACTGTTTGATAAACCTTGTAAAGGGGGCAAAGTTATAGTCAGGACTGTTTAATAACCCTTGTAAAGGGGGTAAAGTTATAGTCAGGACTGTTTAATAAACCTTGTAAAAGGGGTTAAGTTATAGTCAGGACTGTTTAATAAACCTTATAAAGGGGGCAAAGTTATAGTCAGGACTGTTAAATAAACCTTGTAAAGGGGGTGAGAATTTTAGTCAGGACTGTTTAATAAACCTTATAAAGGGGGCAAAGTTATAGTCAGGACTGTTTGATAAACCTTGTAAAGGGGGTAGGATTATAGTCAGGACTGTTAATTAACCCTTGTATAGGGGGCAAAATTATAATCAGAACTGTTTGATAAACCTTGTAAAGGGAGTTAATTTAAAGTCAGAACTGTTTGATTACCTATGTAAAGGGAGTTAATCTAAAGTCAGAACTGTTTGATAACCCTTGTAAAGGGAGTTAATTTAAAGTCAGAACTATTTGATAAACCTTGTAAATGGAGTTAATTTAAAGTCAGAACTGTTTGATAACCCTTGTAAAGGGAGTTAATTTAAAGTCAGAACTGTTTGATAAACCTTGTAAATGGAGTTAATTTAAAGTCAGAACTGTTTGATAACCCTTGTAAAGGGAGTTAATTTAAAGTCAGAACTGTTTGATAACCCTTGTAAAGGGAGTTAATTTAAAGTCAGAACTGTTTGATAAACCTTGTAAAGGGAGTTAATTTGAAGTCAGAACTGTTTGATAAACCTTGTAAAGGGAGTTAATTTGAAGTCAGAACTGTTTGATAACCCTTGTTATGGGGGTAAAGTTATAATGTATTTATCTGTAAAACAAGAGAATTATTAAGGATAATCTGATCGCATGGCTTCATACATATCCTCCCCACGCTTGTTGGCTGTTACATCCTATACTAAGTAATATTGAGTATATACCTACGTAATATAGTAGACATTTATGTTAGATAGCTGTTTATTTCACCTTCATCATTATATAAATAGATGAGCACCCAGGGCTACAAAAGAACCAACTTTGAGGAGGATGACATTTCAAACAGTAGCAACCCTCCAGCCCTCGACTTCAACGCAGGTGTGGTCTTCAAGGGAGGACTCTCGTTATGGCAAAAGAAATCCATCTTAGAGAGGGTCCTTTTCGTTTTGACCATTGTGTTGTCGATCTCCGTCATCATTCTGGCCATTGTATTAGCTTCAAAACAGGCACACATCACCTACCTTCAAAATTCAGGTAAGTATACACTTTGCACATCACCTGTAAAGTTAGATGTTAATTCAGATGAATTATGTTGTTTTCCAAAAACTAGGTGCTAAAATCGATTTTCTAGGTTTTCTGTACCTCCCAGTGGACACCCTGAGAGCGGAGAGCAATGTGCCATTTTCAGCAGTTCTCTTTCTATATAAAAAGTCGGGACAATCATTTTATGCAAAATTAAGTCGTCCCAGAGCCTCGTTGTGTCCTCTAGGTCCCCCTCTACCTTCAGCAGCCTGGTTAAATTAATAAATATTTCCTTATGGAAATTATTATCATGGATTCTTTAGGTTATAGTCATCAGTTTTGATTATATATCTATGGGTTGTTCTGCTTTCTTCTTCAAGTGATCTTCACTGACTGGTAGGATATGGCTCTCATGTGATCTTCACTGACTGGTAGGATATGGCTCTCATGTGATCTTTACAAACTGATAGGATATGTTTTAAATGATCTTTACAGACTGGTAGGATATTACTCTCAAGTGATTTCTAGCTCACCTGGCCCTAAGGGATTTTCAAGTGATTTTCACAGACTTAAGTAGGATATGACTCGAGTGATTTTCACAGACTAGTAGGAAATGACTCAAGTGATTTTCATAGACTAGTAGGATATGGCTCTCTTGTGATTTTCATAGACTAGTAGGATATGGCTCTGAAGTGATCTTTACAGACTAGTAGGATATGGCTCTGAAGTGATCTTTACAGACTGGTAGGATATGGCTTGAGTGATTTTCATAGACTGGTAGGGTATGGCTCTCAAGTAATTTGCACAAACTGGAAGGACATGTTTCAAATTATTTTTATAAACTGGTAGGATACGTTTCAAATTATTTTTATAAACTGGTAGGATATGACTGACAAGTGTGATCTTCACTGACTGGTAGGATAAGGCTCTCATGTGATTTTCATAGACTGGTAGGATATGACGCAAATTATCTTTATAGACTGGTAGGATATGACGCAAATTATCTTTATAGACTGGTAGGATATGGCTTAATAAAAATTGGGCACTTTCTTGGGACTGGGATGAGTTTCAATGGGAAAATTGGTCATAACATGTAAACATATAATTAAATATTCATGCCTAATGAATTTGCCAGGGGTCCGTTTAATCCTAAGGAGTGGGTCCCAATATGATAATTGGTTCCTACCTTGGAAACTTTTGTGATCAGCCCCTTTATGTTTGTATGATTCTCCTAGGATAGGCCCTGCGTCTGTCCCCACTCCAAAGGACTTAAAAAACCCTGGGTCACAACGAAGAAAGGGATGTGATTCCCACCTTAAAACCATTGCTATACAGTTGCTGGTGATGATAAACCTACACAAGACACTGGGATTGATTCAATGGTCCAGCCCTGCAGCCTTGGAGACTGAATCACTTCCTCAATCAAAACATGGAAATGGTTGAAATCTTGCCCTATAACCATGATTACAACTGCTCGATATGTCAAAAGACAATCATGTAGGATCAGCCTTAGGATCTGGCTGTGTTCCTGGGTCATAACATGGAACTGCCTAAATACCTACCCTGTAACCATACTGTATGCATTTGCTTGGCTTGAAGCGACAAAGTGCTCATGCTACCATAATTGCCCTAGGGTCTTGCTGTCCTCTTGAGACTTAGTCATTTAAAAATAACCCGAAAATGGCTGTGATCCGTACCCAATAACCATGCATATACAATTTCTGTGTCTGAGAAGATACATACACCAAAGGCTTCAATGATTGGCCCACAGGTCTTTCCCTGCCCCTAGAGACTTGATCATGAAACTGAAATATTGGAGATCCTCACCCGATAGCAATGTATACAATTTTAGGCATGAAGTGACAAGCATACTAATGCTACCAGAACTAATTAGGCCCAGGGCTATAACTTAGAAATAGTTAAGATCCCACTCTATAATAGGGTACAATTGCTTGGCATGAAGAGACCAACATTAAAATACATTTAAACTTAATCGCCTATGAAGCATATTTAATGGTCTGTTGGACTCTGCAAGCTGGGTCAAAAACAGGATAATTTGGGTGTTTAAGCATTTGAAAGTATACTTCTTCTGAAATGGTGTCCATATTTCAACCAAATTTGCTATATAACAGCATCCTTGTGAACAGGTAATCAAATGTCATGATGGCCTAGATATCCTGGAGGTAAGTGATAAAGGCCCTGTGTGTCTCTTGTTATAAAAATTGTATGCTTAATGTTACTGGGTTATTATGTTTTAGCAAATAAACTCCATCCTTTCTCAACAGCTGTTTGTTTGGAACCAACTTGTGTCCAGGTGTCCAGTTCCCTACTGACTGCAATGGACAGAAGTATAGACCCTTGTGATGACTTCTACCAGTACGCCTGTGGGGGCTGGATCAAGTCTCACCCAATCCCGTCAGGACACTCCCGCTTCAACATGTTCAGCGTCCTCTGGCAGGCTAATCAAGTCATCATGAAACATGCAATAGGTACTGTACCCTGATAATAAACTGAACACCAGAAGGAGCCCACTAACATGTAGGAGTTATTGTCATCTGTGGAAATTGATGTTCTTTCTTGTATTTTCAAAAGTTGCACAATATCAGTAAAAACGATTACAGACTAGGAACCAGCCCTGGTATCAGGACAAGTTCTATGTATTTTGGATACTAAATATTTTTGCATGATTCCAGAACAACCAGTGAATGCCTCTGTGAATTTGTCCGAGTGGAAGGCGCAGACATATTACCGGTCGTGTATGGATGAGAACAAGACAATTGAGGACCTTGGTGCCAAGCCCTTGCTGGACCTACTAAAAGTAACCATCAGTAAACACTTCAGCATTACTAACCTTTAGTCTTCTTTCAATGGCTTCTGTATTTCATTGGACTTTCAAATATATCTATTTCAAATATTTCCAGTAATGGTGCTGTGTCTGTCTAGCATCCATTCAGCTCCACCTTGTTTTTAACTGTTGCTGAACCGGACTGAGCCATTCACCAGCAGTCCGGTAGCTCACTAGGTAGAGTGTCCATCTAGAGCTCATGGGTTCAATTCCAGATCTGGCAGTGCATTTCTTTGCTCCTTTTACGAAATTGGCAGCCAACCCTAGATTGAAGTACTGGGTGAATGCTTGCCAACCCTAGATTGAAGTACTGGGTGAATGCTTGGCAAGGGGATACCAGAGCCTGGATTGTAAATAGTGTTGTCTTTGGGGGTGGAGATTTAGAAAAAGAACGGAGGAATGTAGCAGAACTAGACTGCGTTGATTGTTCGTAATTTTATATATAACCAGAGGTACAAAAAATGTAGCCCAATTGGTAGAGCGTTCGTCAAGATTTCAGAGGGTCCCGTGTTCAAATCCCTGTCTCATTGCTGCATTTCTCTTTCTTCTGTTGCAAAATTGGCAAGCTTTTCAACCCTTGATTCAAGTATTGGATGAATGCGCTAAGGAACTACCTAAACCTGGGTTTATGGTGGAGCTGTCTTTGGGGGGAACTGACTATAGAGGAGGATTTGAATCCTAATCTGTTCACTGCATATTTCTTTTTCTCCTGTTACATAACCAAGAGCAGGGTGATTATGTCTCACCTGTAAAATGTTAGGATGAAGAGTGATCAAGTTTGGTGATATCAATTATCCTGGCCCAATTTCAAGGTCCAATGTACTAAAATGAATAACAACTAAGAGGCCTAGCTAGGGTTATACTATTTGGCTAGAAATATGTTTGGGTGAAGTCACGTCTCAGGTTTTTTCAAACGGATAAGATTGACTGACTTACAATGTTGTTTGGGATAACAGGGTTAAAATCTATAAAAAAATCCTACAGTTGTGTGACATCCCAGACAACTTGTCCTCAGTATCACTTAGACTGTTTGGAATTATTTGTTATCACTTTTATGTTTCTGTCATGCAGGAGGAAGTTCCAAGTTGGTCTATTTCTGTAATGGACTCGAACTTTGACCTCCAGGACCTATTGGAAAAGTGTAAGAAGTATGGGGTGTCCACCTTGTTTGCTGTCTGGGTTGGAGAGGATGACCGCAGCTCTACACAGAACGTACGAAAGGTAAGTCTGTTTGCTTTTTTGGTTGGTGAGGTTGACCACAGCTCTACACAGAACGTACGAAAGGTAAGTCTGTTTGCTGTCCGTGTTGGTGAGGATGACCACAGCTCTAGACAGAACGTACTAAAGGTAAATCTGTTTGCTGTCTGGGTGGGAGAGGATGACGCCAGCTCTATACAGAACGTACTAAATGTAAGTCTGTGTTCTTTCTGAATTATTCGGCATCACCCCAGCTCTACACAGAACGTACGAAAGGTAAGTCTGTTTGCTGTCCGTGTTGGTGAGGATGACCACCGCTCTACACAGAACGTACTAAAGGTAAGTCTGTTTGCTGTCTGGGTTGGAGAGGATGACGCCAGCTCTATACAGAACGTACTAAAGGTAAGTCTGTTTGCTGTCTGGGGTGGTGAGGATGACCACCGGCCTACAAAGAACGTACTAAAGGTAAGTCTGTCTGCTGTCTGGGTTGGAGAGGATGACGCCAGCTCTATTCAGAACGTACTAAAGGTAAGTCTGATTGCTGTCTGGGTTGGAGAGGATGACCGCAGCTCTGCACAGAACGTACTAAAGGTAAGTCTGGTTGCTGTCTGGGTTGGTGAGGATGACCCCAGCTCTACACAGAACGTACTAAAGTTAAGTCTGTTTGCTGTCTGGGTGGGAGAGGATGACGCCAGCTCTATACAGAACGTACTAAAGGTAAGTCTGTTTGCTGTCTGGGTTGGAGAAGATGACCGCAGCTCTACACAGAACGTACTAAAGGTAGTATTGTCACAATATGTGGTTGTCATTTAGGCTTTATATATAGTGGGTACAATAACAGGATGTGATTATGGGATAGCTGCTTTCTCTAGTGTCATCTATACATACTTTCTATTTTAATTACCCAAGCTGTACACCTATGATTAAACTGTAGAGTAGCGTGTTAGTGGTTTCCCCCTAGACAGCTATGTTTTGTCAAGTATCAGAATTGTGACTTATTTTAAACGAGAGATTTTTAAGTGTAGTATTTTAGATTGGTGTCAAAAGGCTTTACACTTATCTGATACAAGCAAACACTTTATGGGGATTTTGTCCATACACAAGAGATTGTCTTCACTTATAGTCTCTCTGAAGCTTGGTAGAGTTTATCTACATCATTTCCCTGAAGCTTGGTAGAGTTCATCTTATCATTTCCCTGAAGCTTGGTAGAGTTTATCTTCATCATTTCCCTGAAGCTTGGTAGCGTTATCAACATCATTTCCCTGGAGGTTAGTAGAGTTTATCTTCATCCTTTCCCTGAAGCTTGGTAGAATTCATCTTATAATTTCTCTGAAGCTTGGTAGAGCTTATCTTCATCATTTCCATGAACACTGGTAGAGTTCATCTCATCATTTTCCTGAACCTTGGTAGAGTTCATCTTCATCATTTCTCTGAAGCTTGGTGGAGTTCATCTTATCATTTTTCTGAAGCTTGGTAGAGTGTATATTATTATTTCCCTGAAGCCTGGTAGAGTTTATCTTCATCATTTCCATGAACACTGGTAGAGTTCATCTTATCATTTTCCTGAACTTTGGTAGAGTTTATCTTCATCATTTCCTTGAAGCTTGGTTGAGTTATCAACATCATTTCTCTGAATCTTGGTAGAGTTTATCTTCATCATTTCCCTGGAACTTGGTAGAGTCTATCTTCATCATTTCCCCGAAGCTTGGTAGAGTTCATCTTCATTATTTCCCTGAAACTTGGTAGAGTTATCAACATCATTTCCTTGAAGCTTGGTAGAGTTTATCTACATCATTTCCCTGGAGGTTGGTAGAGATTTTATATATCATTTCCCTGGAGCTTGGTAGTGTTTATCTTCATCATTTCCCTGGAGCTTGGTAGAGTTTATGTTCATCATTTCCTAGGAGGTTGATAGAGTTCATCTTATCATTTCTCTGAAGCTTCGTAGAGTGTATCTTCATTATTTCCCTGGAGCTTGGTAGAGTTTATCTACATCATTTCCCCGAAGTTTGGTAGAGTTTATGTTCATCATTTCCTAGGAGGTTGATAGAGTTCATCTTATCATTTCCCTGAAGCTTGGTAGAGTTTATCTACATCATTTACCTGAAGCTTGGTAGAATTTATCTACATCATTTCCCTGGAGCTTGGTAGAGTTTATGTTCATCATTTCCTAGGAGGTTGATAGAGTTCATCTTATCATTTCTCTGAAGCTTGGTAGAGTTATTGACATCATTTCCCTGAAGCTTGGTAGAGATTATATACATCATTTCCCTGGAGCTTAGTAGAGTTTATCTTCATAATTTCCCTGGAGGTTGATAGAGTTCACCTTATCATTTCCCTGAAACTTGGTAGAGTTTATCTACATCATTTCCCTGAAGCTTGGTAGAGTTATTGAAGAGTTTATCTACATCATTTCCCTGGAGCTTGGTAGAGTTTATCTACATCATTTTCCTGAAGCTTGGTAGAATTTATCTACATCATTTCCCTGGAGCTTGGTAGAGTTTATCTTCATCATTTCCCCGAAGCTTGGTAGAGTTATCAACATCATTTCTCTGGAGCATGGTAAAGTTTAGCTACATCATTTCTCTGAAGCTTGGTAGAGATAATATACATCATTTCCCTTGTGCTTGGTAGAGTTTATCTTCATCATTTCCCTGGAGGTTGATAGAGTTCATCTTATCATTTCTCTGAAGCTTGGTAGAGTTTATCTACATCATTTCCCTGAAGCTTGGTAGAGTTATTGACATCATTTCCCTGAAGCTTGGTAGAGTTTATCTACATCATTTCCCTGAAGCTTGGTAGAGATTATATACATCATTTCCCTGGAGGTTGGTAGAGTTTATCTTCATAATTTCCCTGGAGGTTGATAGAGTTTATCTTCATTATTTCTCTGAAGCTTGATCGAGTGTATCTTCATTATTTTCCTGAAGCTTGGTAGAGTTCATCTTCATTATTTCTCTGAAGCTTGGTAGAGTTTATCTACATCATTTTCCTGAAGCTTGGTAGAATTTAACCACATCATTTCCCTGGAGCTTGGTAGAGTTTATCTTCATCATTTCCCTGGAGGTTGATAGAGTTCATCTTATCATTTCTCTGAAGCTTGGTAGAGTTTATCTTCATCATTTCCCCGAAGCTTGGTAGAGTTATTGACATCATTTCCCTGGAGCTTGGTAGAGTTTATCTACTTTATTTCCCTGAAGCTTGGTAGAGTGTATCTACATCATTTCCCTGGAGCTTGTTAGAGTTTATCTACTTTATTTCCCTGGAGCTTGGTAGAGTTTATCTACATCATTTCCCTGAAGCTTGGATGAGTGATAGAGTTTATCTTCATTATTTCTCTGAAGCTTGATAGAGTGTATCTTCATTATTTTCCTGAAGCTTGGTAGAGTGTATCTTATCATTTCCCTGGAGGTTGATAGAGTACACCTTATCATTTCCCTGAAGCTTGGTAGAGTTCATCTTATCATTTCCCTGAAGCTTGGTAGAGTTTATCTACATCATTTCCCTGGAGGTGGGTAGAGTTTATCTTCATCATTTCCCTGGAGGTTGATAGAGTTTATCTTCATTATTTCTCTGAAGCTTGATAGAGTGTATCTTCATTATTTTCCTGAAGCTTGGTAGAGTGTATCTTATCATTTCCCTGGAGGTTGATAGAGTTCACCTTATCATTTCCCTGAAGCTTGGTAGAGTTTATCTACATCATTTCCCTGAAGCTTGGTAGAGTTATCAACATCATTCCCTGAAGCTTGGTAGAGTTTATCTACATCATTTCCCTGGAGGTGGGTAGAGTTTATCTTCATCATTTCCCTGAAGCTTGGTAGAGATTATATACATCATTTCCCTGGAGCTTAGTAGAGTTTATCTTCATAATTTCCCTGGAGGTTGGTAGAGTTTATCTACATCATTTCCCCGAAGCTTGGTAGAGTTATCAACATCATTTCTCTGGAGCTTGGTAGAGAAAATATACATCATTTCCCTTGTGCTTGGTAGAGTTTATCTTCATCATTTCCCTGGAGGTTGATAGAGTTCATCTTATCATTTCTCTGAAGCTTGGTAGAGTTATTGACATCATTTCCATGAAGCTTGGTAGAGTTTATCTACATCATTTCCCTGAAGCTTGGTAGAGATTATATACATCATTTTCCTGGAGGTTGGTAGAGTTTATCTTCATCATTTCCCTGGAGGTTGATAGAGTTTATCTTCATTATTTCTCTGAAGCTTTATCGAGTGTATCTTCATTATTTTCCTGAAGCTTGGTAGAGTTCATCTTCATTATTTCTCTGAAGTTTGGTAGAGTTTATCTACATCATTTTCCTGAAGCTTGGTAGAATTTATCTACATCATTTCCTTGGAGCTTGGTAGAGTTTATCTACATCATTTCCCTGGAGGTTGATAGAGTTTATCTTCATTATTTTTCTGAAGCTTGATCGAGGGTATCTTCATTATTTTCCTGAAGCTGGGTAGAGTTCATCTTCATTATTTCTCTGAGGTTTGGTAGAGTTTATCTACATCATTTTCCTGAAGCTTGGTAGAATTTACCTACATCATTTCCTTGGAGCTTGGTAGAGTTTATCTACATCATTTCCCTGGAGGTTGATATAGTTCATCTTATCATTTCTCTGAAGCTTGGAAGTGTTCATCTGATCATTTCCTTGAAGCTTGGTAGAGTTTATCTACATCATTTTCCTGAAGCTTGGTAGAATTTATCTACATCATTTCCTTGGAGCTTGGTAGAGTTTATCTACATCATTTTCCTGAAGCTTGGTAGAATTTATCTAGATCATTTCCTTGGAGCTTGGTAGAGTTTATCTACATCATTTCCCTGGAGGTTGATATAGTTCATCTTATCATTTCTCTGAAGCTTGGAAGTGTTCATCTGATCATTTCCTTGAAGCTTGGTAGAATTTCTTCATCATTTCCCTGCAGCTTGGTAGAGTTTATCTTCATCATTTCCCTGGAGGATGATAGAGTTTATCTTCATTATTTCTCTGAAGCTTGATAGAGTGTATCTTCATTATTTTCCTGAAGCTTGGTCGAGTGTTTCTTATCATTTCTCTGAAGCTTGGTAGATCTCATCTTATCATTTCTCTGAAGCTTGGAAGTGTTCATCTGATCATTTCCTTGAAGCTTGGTAGAATTTCTTCATCATTTCCCTGCAGCTTGGTAGAGTTTATCTTCATCATTTCCCTGGAACTTGGTAGAGTTTATCTTCATTATTTCCTTGAAGCCCATCAGAGTTATCGACATCATTTCCTTGAAGCTTGGTAGAGTTTATCTACATCATTTCCCTGAAGCTTGGATGAGTTCATCTTATCATTTCTCTGAAGCTTGGTAGAGTTCATCTGATCATTTCTCTGAAGCTTGGTAGAGTTCATCTTATCTTTTCTCTGAAGCTGGGTAGAGTTTATCTTCATCATTTCCCTGGAGCTTGGTAGAGTTCATCTTCATTATTTCTCTGAAGCTTGATAGAGTGTATCTTCATTATTTTTTTGAAGCTTGGTAGAGTGTATCTTATCATTTCTCTGAAGCTTGGTAGAGTTTATTATTCATCATTTCCCTGGAGCTTGGTAGAGTTCATCTTCATTATTTCTCTGAAGCTTGATAGCGTGTATCTTCATTATTTTCCTGAAGCTTGGTAGAGTGTATCTGTTCATTTCTCTGAAGCTTGGTAGAGTTCATCTTATCATTTCTCTGAAGCTTGGTAGTGTTCATCTGATCATTTCCTTGAAGCTTGGTAGAGTTTATCTTCATCATTTCCTTGGAGCTTGGTAGAGTTTATCTTCATCATTTCTCTGAAGCTTGGTAGAGTTTATCTTCATCATTTCCCTGGAACTTGGTAGAGTCTATCTACATCATTTTCCTGAAGCTTGGTAGAATTTATCTACATCATTTCCCTGGAGCTTGGTAGAGTTTATCTACATCATTTCCCCCAAGCTTGGTAGAGTTATCAACATCATTTCTCTGGAGCTTGGTAAAGTTTATCTGCATCATTTCTCTGAAGCTTGGTAGAGATTTTATACATCATTTCCCTCGTGCTTGGTAGAGTTTATCTTCATCATTTCCCTGGAGGTTGATAGAGTTCATCTTATCATTTCTCTGAAGCTTGGTAGAGTTTATCTACATCATTTCCCTGAAGCTTGGTAGAGTTTATCTACATCATTTCTCTGAAGCTTGGTAGAGTTTATCTACATCATTTCTCTGAAGCTTGGTAGAGTTTATCTACATCATTTCTCTGAAGCTTGGTAGAGTTTATCTACATCATTTCTCTGAAGCTTGGTAGAGTTTATCTACATCATTTCTCTGAAGCTTGGTAGAGTTTATCTACATCATTTCTCTGAAGCTTGGTAGAGTTTATCTACATCATTTCTCTGAAGCTTGGTAGAGTTTATCTACATCATTTCTCTGAAGCTTGGTAGAGTTTATCTACATCATTTCTCTGAAGCTTGGTAGAGTTTATCTACATCATTTCTCTGAAGCTTGGTAGAGTTTATCTACATCATTTCTCTGAAGCTTGGTAGAGTTTATCTACATCATTTCCCTGAAGCTTGGTAGAGTTATTGACATCATTTCCCTGAAGCTTGGTAGTGTTTATCTTCATTATTTCCCTGGAGCTTGGTAGAGTTTATCTTCCTCATTTCCCTGGAGCTTGGTAGAGTTTATCTTCCTCATTTCCCTGGAGCTTGGTACAGTTTATCTACATCATTTCCCCGAAGCTTGGTAGAGTTTATCTACATCATTTCTCTGGAGCTTGGTAGAGTTTATCTACATCATTTCCCTGAAGCTTGGTAGAGTTCATCTTATCATTTCCCTGAAGCTTAGTAGAGTTTATCTACATCATTTTCCTGAAGCTTGGTAGAATTTATCTACATCATTTCCCTGGAGCTTGGTAGAGTTTATCTACATCATTTCCCTGAAGCTTGGTAGAGTTATCTACATCATTTCCGTGAAGCTTGGTAGAGTTCATCTTATAAATTCCCTGAAACTTGGTAGAGTTTATCTACATCATTTCACTGAAGCTTGGTAGAGTTCATCTTATCATTTCCCTGAAGCTTGATAGAGTTTATCTACATCATTTTCCTGAAGCTTGGTAGAATTTATCTACATCATTTCCCTGGAGCTTGGTAGAGTTTATCTACATCATTTCCCCAAGCTTGGTAGAGTTATCAACATCATTTCTCTGGAGCTTGGTAAAGTTTATCTACATCATTTCTCTGAAGCTTGGTAGAGATTTTATACATCATTTCCCTCGTCCTTGGTAGAGTTTATCTTCATCATTTCCCTGGAGGGTGCTAGAGCTCATCTTATCATTTCACTGAAGCTTGGTAGAGTTTATCTACATCATTTCCCTGGAGGTTGATAGAGTTCATCTTATCATTTCTCTGAAGCTTGGTAGAGTTTATCTTCCTCATTTCCCTGAAGCTTGGTAGAGTTCATCTTCATTATTTCTCTGAAGCTTGGTAGAGTGTATCTTCTTTATTTCCCTGGAGCTTGGTAGAGTTTATCTACATCATTTCCCTGGAGCTTGGTAGAGTTTATCTTCATCATTTCTCTGGAGCTTGGTAAAGTTTATCTACATCATTTCTCTGAAGCTTCATAGAGTGTATCTTCATTATTTCCCTGGAGCTTGGTAGAGTTTATCTTACATCATTTCCCTGAAGCTTGGTAGAGTTTATCTACATCATTTCCCTGGAGGTTGGTAGAGTTTATCTTCATCATTTCCCTGAAGCTTAGTAGAGATTATATACATCATTTCCCTGGAGCTTGGTAGAATTTATCTTCAACATTTCCCTGGAGGTTGGTAGAGATTATATACAACATTTCCCTGGAGGTTGGGAGAGTTCATCTTATCATTTCTCTGAAGCTTGGTAGAGTGTATCTCTATGTCGATAACTCTACAAAACTCCAGGGAAATAATGAAGATACACACTAAGAAGCTTCAGAGAAATGATAAGATGAACTCTATCAACCTCCAATAATAATTTCCCTGGAGCTTAGTATAGTTCATCTTCATCATTTACCTGAAGCTTGGTAGAGTTTATCTACATCGTTTCCCTGAAGCTTGGTAGAGTTTATCTTCATCATTTAGTCTTTTGAAGTAGGTCTTATTATTTACAGCCTTTTTGTCCATACACCTGAGACATGTTGTTTGTGTGGTAGATATATATGTGTTAACCAGTTAGTTGTTGTAAAGCTGTGTCCCCTGATGTTGGACCGTATAGTATATACTGAACCGTTTACACTGTTTGTGTGGTAGATATATATGTGTTAACCAGTTAGTTGTTGTAAAGCTGTGTCCACTGATGTTGGACCTTATAGTATATACTGAACCGTTTACACTGTTTGTGTGGTAGATATATATGTGTTAACAGGTTATAGTAAAGCTGTGTCCCCTGATGTTGGACCTTATATACTGAACCGTTTACACTGTTTCAGTTGGACCAGTCCGGGTTAGGTTTACCTGAGCGAGACTACTATCTCAACAAAAGTATCGACCACGATCCAGTAAGTCCATTATACCATTATATAGTACCGCTTGGAAAGTCTGAACATTTAACTGAAGCTCTTGAAACGTTGTCTCATACTGAAAATAAAAAAACATTAATTTTTTTGTTCTCTAAGAATACAATTATAAGCAATATTTGATGAAAAATATGTTTAAAAATTATAGAAGACTTCTTTGTTGAAGAAGTAAAAGTTTTAAGGAAGAAACTTTCTATAGTCTGTCTTAATTTCATGATAATTGTCAGCAAGAATTGTAAAGCTTATTCTCTAGACAGGCTAAACTATTGTTTATATGTGTATGAAGTAGATGTTTGCTCTGTTTTCTCCGTATCAATATCTTGCACATATTAAACATGCTTTAGCAGTAATAAAACTACTAGCTTCATCATTTCCCTGGAGGTTGATAGAGTTTATCTTATCATTTCCCTGAACCTTGGTAGAGTGTATCTACATCATTTCCCCGAAGCTTGGTAGAGTGTATCTACATCATTTCCCCAAAGTTTGGTAGAGTTATCGACATCATTTCCCTGAAGCTTGGTAGAGTTATCGACATCATTTCCCTGAAGGTGGTCTTCAGTAGGTACCTGGGATGGAATGCTATAAAGTTACCTCATTAAAATGGCCTTGACCTATTTTCTAGGACACATGGGTAAAATATGTTTAAAAATTCAATATGCTAAGAACTGGAGCTGTAGCGAGTATCCGGATACTGGAATATCCACGAGTAAAACCTGAAAAATGAGTATGAATAATCGTTATAGATCGGTAGATCGCGATCTTTGTGAAAATGTTAAAACAATTGAACATTTTATTTAAAAAGCACAAAAAACTCTTGAAACGAACCTTTTTTGTAGTATTCTTTCTGATCAATACAAAAATGGATTACATGTAATATTTTACAAGCGGAATACAAACAAACTCCATATCATTTCGTTCCATTTGAAATCCCCCCTGCTATTTTGTATCAATCCAGGAAGCCAGGTTTTAAAAGTAAAAGTGCTACAACGACATGGACATGTATTTTGAGTGTTCTATTCTGTAATATAATATATATAAACCGTGAGTACGACATCGTTGTCATGAACTGTTAACCACTTAAGTGAGTTTTTCAAGCCAATTTTGTTCCGCCCGGATTTCGGGCAGAAACTGCATCAAAGAATTAGTGCTTCGGAAATGAGAGGTCGCAGTCGGCAAAATCATATCCAAAAGAAAAACGACCGACCAGCGAGGGCCTCTCATGTGATAGGAGAAGTTACTGTACATGTATTTACTCATTCATAGGTTCATTTTTTTTGTTATTTTCACCTTTAATGATAATAAAATATTATGTTGTTAAAATAATTCCTGTTTATTTCAAAGCATATATTTGTAATCAGGTATTAGAAAGATAAAGTTGATCACAGGATAACAATACAAATATATCTATATAGTCTTTAAGACTTTATCATTGTAATGGGGTTCATGGCGATCTGTAAATCGTTAGACCCGATTCGTGGTTCGGATCGGATCGCCACCAGCCTGGCAATCCACAGCCCTACTAAGACCCATTACAGTAATAAGGTCAAAGGTCAACTTTAAGTGGTAGCGGGAGTCAAAGGTCAACGTGGGTTAAAAGCTTTAAAATTGAAAATTTCAAATATTAAACAATATCTTAAGACCATTTAAAATATGTTAAAATGTCTTGTGTTCTAGCTACCAAATTTGGTCTGAAGTTACCTATATGTCAGTTTCATGTAACAAAAGAAATAGTTGAGCGATACAGGCCCTCTGGGCCTCTTGTTTTTCTTTCTTGCAGGTCTTGATCGCATACCTAGAGTATATGACAGAGGTGGGAATGCTGTTAGGTGGTGAAGAAAACAGCACTCGCTCACAGATGACAGATGTCATCATGTTTGAGACACAACTTGCCACTGTAAGTGACACAGGTCCTGCAAATAAAAAGTGTGTGAGCTATTGTATTGTCCATCCCTGCGTATGCTTGTCAGAGGTTAGTTAGCGTTTGGCTGATAGTTCTGCTTTAGGGTATCTATCTATCTATCTATATGTTATACTCCACAGAGACCAAAATGGCTTTAATGCGGAGGGGTAAAGGGTAGGATGAAGGGTCTAGTTGTGTGATATGGTGGTTTGATAAAGGGAAGCCCACTTCAAGGCTGATGCAACTTTGGAATTATTTGCATAAATTAGAGAACCAACTCTTTCCTCAGGTGTAAATAGGAAATCTTGCTATATTCATAGTCTGTGTGTGTAAGCTGACCAGAGTGAAGAGCTGGGATATATAGAGATATTGCCTTCATTTCAGATAACCATTCCTTCAGAAGACCACAGAGACGAAGAGAAGATGTATAACAAGATCACCATCGAACAACTTCAACAAAACATCACATTTGTAAGTGTTATTCCGGATCCATTAAAGGTCCAAACCTTGAAAGAACATAGTTCCAATTAACATTCCATAATGAAGCTATAAGCTTACGCGGCACAAAAAGCCTCGTATATAACAGGTTGGTTCAGCACCAGTTGTTGATCCATCAACATGGTCAAATATGTCAAAAACTTCAAACAACACTGTTTTAACTCATTCACCCCTGAAGACAAATTTGAACTCTTCCAATTCAAAGGTTGGAATAGTTCATTATGAAATGTCAGGGGTAAATGAGTTAAGAAACATAGGGTCTGAAGCCAGCGTGATGATGATTGTGTTTGTTATGCAGACCGCCATCATTGTGAATCATTGTTTCACATTGTGTTGAGGTAAGTGTTAACTTTTAATGTTGGCTGTAGTCAAAGGTCAACAAAGGTCAACATGGGTTATAGTGAGTAAGAGGCTTTAAAAATCATCATCCTTAATTACATAAGGTCATGATATTTGGTAAGTAGGTACTTCAAATGGAGTGTTATAATTCATTTTTATTTAAATGATCTTGAATTACTTTCAATGTCACAGAGGTAAAATGTGTTAAAGATTTCACACTGCATTATCTAAAGACCGATGGGATCTGGAGCCATGATTCATGGGTTTGTTATGTAGATCAGCATTGCAGATCTTTGTCTTACATTTTGTGTTTAAGGAAAAGGTCAACAGACAGAGGTCAGCATGGGCTATGTTAGTGAGAAACTTAAAGAATCTTGTCCAGTTCAGTCAGGCCCAGGGTTGTTATATCTCTAGGCAGGACATACCTGTTATAATGATAATAATAATATTTTGAGGTTCCTATATACCACCTTATCACAACCTAGTTTGTAGGTCGTCTCAAAGCAGTTCACAAATTATTATCCGTGGTTATAGGGCCTTTGCAACCAGCTTATATATCTTTCTCAACTCCCTGGGGACATACAGCCGATGCTGTCATTTTGGCGCTCACAGCTAGCATTCTACAATTCTAGCACTGCCCAACCACTTACTCATTTACAGCTGATTAGACAGCTGGAACAATTGGAGTAAAGTATCTTGCTCAAAGATACAACACCGTGACGTGACTCAAACCTGCAACCCTTCGGTCATGTGCCCAGCGTCCTACCACTAGACTACTGTGCCTCCGAGTATGGAGTACATGTGCTCTAAAGTCTTCTGATAGAAATGATCTTGACACAACATTAAATATTTCTAAGGTCTAGGGTCATTAGCCTTGAATAAATTGTACAGACCAGCAGTCTTTTTATGCCCCCGCCATGAAATGAGGGAGCATATAGTGTTGCCCATGTCTGTCGCGTCGTGTCACGTCCCATCCTGTCAAATATCAAACACTGAAACTAATTTCACATGGTGACAGGGGCATTCATGTCTTACAGACATTTTCTAGTCGTAAGATATTGTGCTTCAAGAAATGTCAACGAAGGCTTTTTTGTGTAAAATATTTTAAAAGTCTTCTTCTCAAGTTCAATAAGGCCCATGGTTGTGATATGTTGGTACCTGGGATAGATCGCTGTCAAGATTTCCCATATAAATGACCTTGTATACTGCTAACAAGACATGAAGAGATAAGGCCACAGAGGCCAAGTGTTTAAGGTGTCTGACATACTGCTACCACCACTGGGTCGCGGGTTCTAGACCTACGTGACCTGACACATTGGCACGTCCTTAAATGACCCTAGCTAGCTGTTAATAGGACGTTAAACACAAACAAACTAAACCAAACCAAAAATAAAGAGATAAACACAGGTCTTACTAGAATGAGATCTGACTCTTAATTCCTGTAATCAATCGGTACAAGAGATAATTAACATTATGAACAAATAACCTGAAACTTTTGTAGTAAATGTAATGAATGCAGAACAAAAGATTTTCTTATTTGTTAAAATGAAACATTCTTGTTCATATGTGTTCATATTGTATAAAGTAAATACATAAAAAAGGCAAATCTCCTCACATTGATTAACGATTTCAAAAGGAAAATTGGCAAAAACAATATTTGATGTAGTTTTGTTCGAGGATAATTATACTTATACAGACTGACATTTCACTTGACCCAAAACTGAAACAACTTATAAGTTAACTATAGCACACTTATAATTCACTCATAATTGAGAGATTTTTGGCTTAAAAGTCTACAAAAGTTTATTCTGTAAGGGAAATCACAATCATATGATAATTATTTGTGAAAGTTGAGCAATGAATATGAATTTTCCTTTTTAGATAAACTGGCTCGATATCATCAACAGCTGCCTTTCTATGTCTGGAATTCACGTCACATCCTCGGAGAAAATGGTATCTTACGCTGGAAACTACTTACAAGACATGGCAGAACTAGTGAATGGGACCATGAGGACAGAGAGAGGCAGGAGGTGATGATATGTTCTCTAGACCAAAACATATACATGTCTCTTAGGCCAATCCTCTCTAGACTAACATCTACATGTCTCTTAGGTCAATCTTCTCTAGACTAACATGTACATGTCTCTTAGGCCAATCCTCTCTAGACTAACATCTACATGTCTCTTAGGCCAATCCTCTCTAGACTAACATCTACATGTCTCTTAGGCCAATCCTCTTTAGACTAACATGTACATGTCTCTTAGGCCAATCTTCTCTAGACCAAAACATATACATGTCTCTTAGGCCAATCTTCTCTAGACTAAGATGTACATGTCTCTTAGGCCAATCTTCTCTAGGCTAACATGTACATGTCTCTTAGGCCAATCTTGTCTAGACTAACATGTACATGTCTCTTAGGCCAATGTTCTCTAGACTAACATGTACATGTCTCTTAGGACAATCTTCTCTAGACCAAAACATATACATGTCTCTTAGTCCAATCCTCTCTAGACTAACATGTACATGTCTCTTAGGACAATCTTCTCTAGACCAAAACATATACATGTCTCTTAGTCCAATCCTCTCTAGACTAACATGTACATGTCTCTTAGGACAATCTTCTCTAGACCAAACATCTACATGTCTCTTAGGCCAATCTTCTCTAGACTAACATATACATGTCTCTTAGGCCAATCTTCTCTAGACCAAACATATACATGTCTCTTAGTCCAATCCTCTCTAGACTAACATGTACATGTCTCTTAGGCAAATCTTCTCTAGACCAAACATTTACATGTCTCATAGGCCAATCTTCTCTAGACTAACATGTACATGTCTCATAGGCCAATCTTCTCTAGACTAACATGTACATGTCTCATAGGCCAATCTTCTCTAGACTAACATGTACATGTCTCTTAGGCAAATCTTCTCTAGGCAAAAACATATACATGTCTCTTAGGCCAATCCTCTCTAGACTAACATGTACATGTCTCTTAGGACAATCTTCTCTAGACCAAACATCTACATGTCTCTTAGGACAATCTTCTCTAGACCAAACATCTACATGTCTCTTAGGACAATCTTCTCTAGACCAAAACATATACATGTCTCTTAGGCCAATCCTCTCTAGACTAACATCTCCATGTCTCTTAGGCCAATCTTCTCTAGACCAAAACATATACATGTCTCTTAGGCCAATCCTCTCTAGACTAACATCTACATGTCTCTTAGGCCAACCCTCTTTAGACTAACATGTACATGTCTCTTAGGCCAATCTTCTCTAGGCTAACATGTACATGTCTCTTAGGCCAATCTTCTCTAGGCTAACATGTACATGTCTCTTAGGCCAATCTTGTCTAGACTAACATGTACATGTCTCTTAGGCCGATCTTCTCTAGACCAAACATCTACATGTCTCTTAGGCCAATCTTCTCTAGACTAACATGTACATGTCTCTTAGGCCAATCTTCTCTAGACCAAACAGTTACATGTCTCTAAGGCCAATCTTCTCTTAACCAAACATGTACATGTCTCTTAGGCCAATCTTCTCTAGACCAAACATATACATGTCTCTTAGGCCAATCCTCTCTAGACTAACATGTACATGTCTCTTAGGCCAATCTTCTCTAGACTAACATCTGCATGTCTCATAGGCCAATCTTCTCTAGACCAAACATCTACATGTCTATTAGGCCAATCTTCTCTAGACCAAACATCTACATGTCTCTTAGACCAATCTTCTCTTGACCAATTGTCTCTTAGGCCACAACAAATTAATTTGTAGTTCTTCACATTATATACTTTTTTCGAATGGTACAATTTTCTTTGTATCTAAATTTTTGTATTTGATCTACGAGCTGAGATGCGAGTCGGTGTGAGGAAGGATTAAAAAAAATGCCTTAAATCATGATGGTTTGGTACAAACGTGCTATTTTTTTATATATTTTTAGTTGGTCGATTAAACAAACAATATCTGTTTATTTTAACACGTTTGATGGAAACTGTATTCTATTAAATGGATTATGTCTTAAAAAGTATTAAGTTGATTCATGTATACAAGTAACAGGGATTTCAAATCAACTACTGTTAAACAATAATCAAACATATGGATGATATGTACATCTGCAAAACACTATAAGCAATACATTGTTTTTACAAAATGTATGGCAAGCTAACTTAACATTTAATACATGAAAGAAATACATCGTATATGCTTTCGAAACTATGCCATAAAATTATGGAGATATCTTTTGCTGACCGACTTATCGAAATTCTGACAATGTCTGCAGGCCTAGGCCTACTTGTGTGACTCAATGATTCTGCGTAAAGATCTATGAACGTTTTAACTTAACAACAGATCCTGTCTGTAAAGATCTATGAACGTTTTAACCTACAGCAGATCCTGTCTGTAAAAATCTATGAACGTTTTAACCTACAACAGATCCTGTCTGTAAAGATCTATGAACGTTTTAACTTAACAACAGATCCTGTCTGTAAAGATTTATGAACGTTTTAACCTCCAACAGATCCTGTCTGTAAAGATCTATGAACGTTTAAATTAACAACAGATCCTGTCTGTAAAGATCTATGAACGTTTTAAATTAACAGCAGATCCTGTCTGTAAAGATCTATGAACGTTTCACTTAACAACAGATCCTGTCTGTAAAGATCTATGAACATTTTAACTTTACGACAGATCCTGTCTGTAAAGATCTATGAACGTTTCACTTAACAACAGATCCTGTCTGTAAAGATCTATGAACGTTTTAAATTAACAACATATCCTGTCTGTAAAGATCTATGAACGTTTTAAATTAACAGCAGATCCTGTCTTTAAAGATCTATGAACGTTTTAACTTAACAACAGATCCTGTCTGGAAAGATTTATGAACGTTTTAACCTCCAACAGCTCCTGTCTGTAAAGATCTATGAACGTTTAAATTAACAACAGATCCTGTCTGTAAAGATCTATGAACGTTTAAGTTAACAACAGATCCTGTCTGTAAAGATCTATGAACATTTTAACTTTACAACAGATCCTGTCTGTAAAGATCTATGAACGTTTCACTTAACAACAGATCCTGTCTGTAAAGATGTATGAACGTTTTAACTTAACAACAGATCCTGTCTGGAAAGATTTATGAACGTTTTAACCTCCAACAGATCCTGTCTGTAAAGATCTATGAACATTTTAACTTTACGACAGATCCTGTCTGTAAAGATCTATGAACGTTTCACTTAACAACAGATCCTGTCTGTAAAGATCTATGAACGTTTTAACTTAACAACAGATCCTGTCTGCTCATGAGTAACTCCTGTCCCTTTCTCACGGAAACAATGTAGATGTTTTTCATGTTTCCCCCCATGCATCAGGGGCCGTCGTGTGATCTTGTCATTCAGAGTAACACAGTAATATTACAAGCTTTAGGGACATTCTAAATTTTGTAATTGTCCCAAAAAAAATATGGATTTTTTTTTTTTTTTTAATATTTTAGTTGTGGGAATTCCAACCAACTACAAATTAATTTGATGTGACTTTAACATATATATTTCTCATCCAACAGAAAGAAGATTTGGATTTCAATCTAATTATATAAAATTTAGCATGTTGCATATTAAGTCCTCGTTAAGGACAATGCCAGATAATATTGACGAATCGCCATTAACAGCTAGACAAAATTTGTTTCATTTGTTTCAGAGTTCTTTGTCAGACAATATTGGTTTTCTCTGTTTCAGGGTTATTAGTCAGACAATATTATTTTGTTTTTTTTTAGGGTTATCTGTCAGACAGTGTTTGTTTTCTCTGTTTTAGGGTTATTTGTCAGACAATATTCGTTTTCTCTGTTTTAGGGTTATTTGTCAGACTATATTTGTTTTTTCTATTTTAGGGACATTTGCCAGACAATATTTGTATTCTCTGTTTCAAGGTCCTTTGTCAGACAATATTTTTTTTCTCTGTTTTAGGGTTATTTGTCAGACTATATTTGTTTTCTCTGTTTTAGGGTTATTTGTCGGACAATATTTGTTTTTTCTATTTTAGGGACATTTGCCAGACAATATTTGTTTACCCTGTTTAAGGGTTATTTGTCGGACAATATTTGTTTTCTCTGTTTCAGGGTTATTTGTCAGACAATATTTGTTTTCTCTGTTTAAGGGTTATTTGTTTGACTATTTCTTTTTGCAGGACCATGTACAACTATCTGATGTGGCATATTATTAAGTCTATGACATCTTACTTGTCTAAGCCATTCCGTACTGCACAGAAAGTGTTGTCAGAGGCGTTGTCAGGTAGGTTACAGGGACACACAACTAGCCTATAGCTACTTTAGCACAACCAGGCAACAATCCATCTTTTTCAGAAACAATTTTTAGCTCACCTGGCCCGAAGGGCCGAGTGAGTTCATGCCGTGGTGCGAGGTCCGGCGTCCGTTGTCCATTGTCAATATTTTACTTTAAACAACTTCTTCTTAATAACCAAAAGGCCTAGGATAATAATATTTGGCTAGAAGCAAACTGGGATCAAGGGCTACCAAGTTTGTTCAAATAAATGACATTCACCCATTTGAAAGGTCACAAGGGTCAAATAGGGCTACCAAGCTTGTTTCAATGAAAGACCTTCACTTATATATATATTCACGGTGACACAGGGCTCAATTGTCTTAAAAAAACTTTAAACAACTTCTTATGAATAACCAAAATGCCAAGGGTGATGATATTTGTAAAGTAGCATGCTGAGATGAAGGTCTACCAAGTTTGTTCAAATGAATGACCTTAATTCACTAATAATCATAGTCACAGGGGTGAATTGCCAAAAAAAACCTTTTAACAACTTCTTCTGAATAACCAAAATGCCTAGGACATTGATATTTGGTCAGTAGCATGCTGGGATCAAGGGCTACCAAGTTTGTTAAAGTGAATGACATTGACTTATATTCAAGGTCACAGGGGTCAAATATGTTTAAAATCTTTAATAGACTTCTGAATAACTATCAGGCCCAGAATGTTGATATTTATTACCCCTTTGAGAAAAATCTAGGAATCTGATTGGTTAAAAACTCCAGTGTACCAAACCGCATTCGTAAATCTCAAGGGGTATACGAAAATATCAGGGGGTATACGGTCATGTCACGTGATTCCCAGCAGTAATACGGTGGAATCACGTGATTTTACAAGGGGTATACGGGTCACGTGTCTTTGTATCTTGCGGCCGGGCATCGGGAGACAACTCGCATTCGTTGTCTGCTTCGCTGTTTACAAAATGGCAAAACGTTTCGCTTCGCATACTGATGAGGAAATACTTGCCGAAAGGGCTAACTATGTGCCACATAACACACAAAAGTCGAACAGACGAGCAGCAAACATGCTGAGGACGTATTTAAAAGAAAAGAATTAGGAAGAACAGTTCGAGGAATTTGATAAAACCGTGACAAAACTAAATGAGGTACTGTACGTGTGCCTGTTATTTTTTATTGTTTTTATTATAAAAGACTCAAAGGGGTAATAAATTAGTTACACAGATTTTTGACCGATAGGCCGAAGGAAATACGAAACCCTTTAGGGTCATACCATCCCGTATACCCTGTCAAAAATCCAAGTAACTAATATTAGCCAGTAGCATGCTTGGTCGAATGGCTATCAAGCTTTTTAGGTCACCTGAGCTTTGCTTAAGGGAACTATTCTAATCGCTTTCCATCCGTCGGCGACGTCGTGCGTAAACTTTTTACATTTTCAACTTCTTCTCAAGAACCAGTGGATGGATTTTTTTCAAACTCGGTCAGAATCATCCTTGGTAGATGAGGCTACAAAATTGTAAAATTGACAACTTTTTGTATGGAAAGAAAGATCATCAGGAGCTTTACTTAAATTGTAAATTTCAGGACCCCCGAGCTATCCATTCTCCCTTGGGGAGGGGGTAAAGTTTACTATAGTTTATATAGGGAAATAACACTTTTTGGTATATTTGACAAATTTTTGTAGGAAATTATTTTTACTTAGTGAGAATTATCCTTGGAGGAAGATGGTTTCAAATTGTAAAATTGAGATTCCTACCCAAACACATGGGGCCAAGACGGGGCCCCAAAGGGAAAATTAACCAATATTTCAAAAATCTTCTTCTCCAGACTCAGAGGTACTACAGTCATTTTCTCTGCATGGAAAGAAAGATCATCAGGTATTACATCATCAGGATTCCTGCCCCATCCCCATGGGCTAGGGCTGGGCCCCAAAGGGAACATTTACCAATATTTTAAATTTCTTATCCTTTGATGACATGACAAGTATTGTATTTCACTTAGTTTACATGCTGATTTCCACATCACATCCAAACAATAAAATAAAGCTGTAACCAGTACCTATGATTTAACTCAGGTAACCGCTAAGGCCCTTGGGCCTCTTGTTTATTTGAATGACCTTGACCCACTTTTAAGGTCACATTTGGTCAAATATGTATAAACATTTAAATTACCTAATTTCAATAAACAAAAGGATAGGGTGGTGATATTTTGCAAGTTGCATCCTGAGATGAAGGGCTATAAAATTTGTTCAACATAATGACCTTGTTCGACTTTCAAGGTCACAGGGGTGAAATGTTTAAAATCTTTTAACAGGTTCTTTTGAATGAATCATCAATTCTGATATTTTTGCCTGTAGCTTTATTTTAGATCACTTTTAAGGTGAGATTTATACCAGGTGAGCGATGCAGGCCCATTGGGCCTCTTGTTCATATTTCTGATGAAGTCATTTAGTGGAAATTCATTGTTATAACATATACAAAGGTGACATATTAACAGTTAGAACAGAAATTTTGACGACATGATCGGTACCTGTACCTATGGTAATACTGTTATACCATGGTTGGTTTAGCTGTAGTAACCTGAAGCTATTATGTCTGTTTTATTCATGGTCAGCTGTTGTACATGTATAGATGGTCACAAGGGATTTTATATTACTTTATTCACGATCACCAAAGATAGTGTGAAGTTAAATAATTAATGAATATTGTTACCATGAATTATAATCTCCATGACTATTTATTACAAACACAAAGGAAAAATCTGTTTACTTGTTTACATACAATAATGAAGATAAAACAACAACTCAATATAATGCTAATCGCATTTTACTTTATTTTCACAAAACACTTACATTTTGTCACATAAATCCCATTAGGCCTACCCAAATACAAAAGTACCCTCGTGTAGTTGTTTACCTAGCCATGCTGAATGACATGAATCCCTGTGAACTAGTTCTGATCAGGAAAACAGCAAAATATTAGCCCCACAAGATTAAACAACCAATTACAGTAAGATCTGTTGGTGAGCAGGTACGACTGGGGGTGAGGAGCTATGGAGAGAGTGTATATCGGACACGGATGAGACGCTGGGCTTTGCATTAGGTGCCATGTTTATCCGTGAAGCTTTCAATGGTGACAGTAAAGTTAAGGTAGGTTTGACGTTTGTCCCATTAAGGACAAGAGTAATGCATGGATTTATAACACTGTCAGCTTTAGCCAGACAATCTGTAGTTATCATGTATGTTATATATCAGCAGAAATGGTCTGCCTGTGTATTTTTAGCACACCATCATCATATGGTTGACTATTTAAATCACCCTGCATCCATGGTCCGTCATCCGTCCATCCATCCTTAATCAATTCTTGTTCGTGCTATTTCTCAGTAAGTACTGTAGGGATATTTCTCAAATTTCACTCAAAGGTTCCCCATAGTCGCTAGTTATGCATATGGAAATTTGGACTGATCACAAACCAAAAATGGTCGACAGGCAGCCACTTGAATTTGAGAGAGCTAAAATTTGTTAGCGCTATTTTTCAGAATGTACAAGAGGATCATTCTCAATTTTCACATGAAGGTTTCCTATGGTCCCTTAAGTTATGCATATCAAATTTTGGGACTGATCACAAAACCAAGATTGCCGACATGCTAAAAATAGAAGTTTACTTCTCTGAATGATAACTTGAAAACAGATGAT